GACAATAAAGTCCTTTTCTTTTTCTTTTTTATTATTTTTTCCCCCCTAGTGTTGTAGGGCAGGATGGCTTCGACTGAAAGGGAGACGCTGTCCCAGGATGAGCTCCGGAAAAGGCTCTATCAGACTTTTAAGAACCGAGGGGTGCTGGACACGCTGAAGGTGCGCTCTGTTCGCAGCAGGGTCCTGCCCGAGGTTTGCGCTCATTCACTTGAAGGCAGGGGAAGCCACGCCACATAAATGTGCTTCTTGTTCTCCCCAAATGCACTATTTTAGCCATATCCTAATTCATATTCAGCTTTTTTAGCCAGGTTCTTCATTGTGGTTAGTCTCACAGTCTTCTTCAGGCCTGTATCAGGTCTTTGAGAATTTCCACACTTGAGACGGAGGTCAAGCAGGAAGGAGAATAAATGAGAATATAGCGTTGGAAAGGATTTTTTAGGTCACAGAGTCTTTCTTTTGCCTACTATAAGTAAGCACACTGTATGAATTATCCTCCTGAAACATTAAGTTCCGTTTTAAAGATATTTGAGCTGCTTGTCTGCTTATTCAGGAGAATGTCTTAGAACATGTGGTTCTTGTTGTTGACAAGAGTGAAATTTTGTTCTGATGTATAGCCTGGGTTTATTTATGGTTGTTCTGGCCTTGTGCTAAAAATATCCTTCAATGCAAGTTGCTCTAACTCTCCGTGATGATTTGTACTCAGCTGTCATACCTTTTCTTCAGCGTTCTGTTGTACAGTGCCAAGCAAGTCAGGGTGCAGTAGTCTTATTGCTGGTTACCCCACTAGTCCTCTGTGTCACTTTGAGGTCTTTCCCCATTTTTTAAAAGGAAGTGGAACATGATTGTTGTGAGCCTTCCAGGCAAATTTTAGAATGGTATTAATTTTCCCTGGTTTTGTGCAAAAAATAGTGGAAGGCAGCATATATCTCTTTCTAAGGCGTGTTACATTCATAGTGCTAGTCACTGATTGACACATGCACATCTTGCTTTTTCCAAATAATACAGCCTGTGTGTTACATCACAAATACTTTAAATGCTGAAATGTTTTATTTCTTGCAGTTTCAGTTTTGCCAATCTGTAAACATCATCTGACTGCATTTTTTAATGATGCGTTTGTGTCAGCAGCAATTTTTTTAGCTCTTGCTTTTTACGTCCAGTTGATTAAAGTTAAAAAAACCAAGATCTATATTCTAAGAACAGCATTCATAATCTTATGGCCAAGAAATCCCTGTTCAGGACAACTTGTTTCTCCCTCAGTGATTTCCATACCAAGCTTGCAATACTTGAACCATTTCTTGCCTTGTTTGACTTACCTAATAGTCTGTCAGGTGGCCTGCTCTTTAACTCCATCGTATTAAAGATGTTGTAGCTTTTCTGAGCTGAAGAATTAATACAGATCTTAATCTTATGGATTCTGAGCTATTTCTTATGGATTCTTGTGGATTTCGTCTTTTAATGAGAACACTCTCAACTTTCTCGTGGTCTTGCCTGACTGCTGCTGGCAGGGCAGGTCTGAAGCTCCAGGTGTGCTGAATGCCAAACGTATAACAACCTTTCCCATAGTAGGGATGGAGATTCAGCCCCGTGTTTTCCACTTGCACTTTATCACGAGATGTAGAAGAGGTTGTTAGTCTTGGCTGGTTTTGAAACAAAGTTCATTGAAACTGGACAAGTTCAGAAATTAATAAGGAAAACAATTTTTTCAGTTGTCTTTGTTTCTATTGTCAGCCTAATTTCTGTAGAAGGCCATGCTAAAGTATCAGGCTAGTCTGATGGTCTGCCTGTGTTAAGTTCTGTGGAGTATTTCATCCTATTTTTGGCAACGTGCTCCTTCTTTAATCGACTTTGTCACTGCTGCATACCTGCTGTTGAAAGCTTAAAACACTATTTCCATCATGAACTTCTAGGATGCTGTAAATGATTTGTGTAATTATGTGTTGAAAATTATTATTTCTTCCTTTTACAGGAGGGAGACTTTCTGATTTTAGACTTCTTTCTCTATTGTAACTCACAGAATTCAAATAAATAAAAAAAATACAATTCAATTATTATTTGCCTGTAGGCTTTTTTGATTAGTACTCTTGAAATTGAGGCCACATCAGCCAGAGGGAAGGAAAGCAGTGATCTAAAAATGGAGCTGGGGGTACTAGAGTGGAGTTTATGTGTGTTCTTGACAGAGAACAATACTTCTTTTCCATCCTATGTTTGATACTCCTTGTGGGAAAGTCAAAGATTACTTTAGCCACTGTTAGTGTTTTAAAGAAAGGCGCAGTGTCCTACTCACTCTTCTGAATTTTGCCGGTTAATCTGCCTGTTTCTGTTAGCGTAGGTTGTAATATGACACGTGCAAGTTAAATGAAACAAGTAACAAAAAACAAACGTGACTTTGGAAAAATAAAATCTCTTACTGAATAACATGTGAACTGAGAATATCGTGTCTTTTTTGTATCAGACGCAGCTCCGAAACCAGCTCATTCGTGAACTAATGCACCCAATTTTGAGTGGAGAACTTCAGCCACAGGCTGTTCCCAGTGAAGACAGTTCACTTTTGAGCACAGCTTCCAACAGTTTGGTGGCAGATCATCTACAGAGAAGTGGCTACGAGTATTCACTTTCTGTTTTCTTTTCAGAAAGTGGATTAGAGAAGAAGAAGGTAAGCGTGGTAACTTACCTCTTCTAGGAGCTTTGCTTTCTGGGACTTGTCGTATTCTAACAGAATTGAAAATACTAAAAAAAAAAAATCCCCTTTTGTGGTAGTGAAGTACGAACCTAATTTCTGATGATCTCTGTAACAGATTTCATTGTTTGGGGCTGTTTTCACAAATACTTTAAATTGGCAGTTAGCAGAAGGTGCTGCTCTGGACAGACACAGCACAAACCTCTCTTAACCTTGCGCTTGCTTCCCCCATCACCGCAGTGGGGCATGACTGTTGGTGAGGCTGCGTGACAGCGCTCTCGGCGAGCTGATCCTGATTAAAGGCAGCCTCTTGTTTGACCAGTTCCCCAAAAGCATGATTCGTGGTCAGTGAAAGCTCCTCTGACTACAGGCTGCCCTCCCTTTGTTTCTCTGTGTGACAGGTCATGAAGTTTCTAACTGAAAATGAGTTTTTTGACCGAGTGAGAGGTTAGTTGTCACTCAGGTTAGTGAGCTGATCTGATTCATGTGATAAATCAAGAAAAGAGGCAAGGGAAGTAGCAAGTGTGTATTCAGGGTGAGGAGGAAACAAAACTATCTTTTCACAGCTTGAGTTGATCGTGAAACTGCATGCTGGCTGCTGTGCATCTTAGGTAGTAGAGAGAAGTAAACGTACTAGTAGCATAGCAGGCCTCTGAAAATACTTTTACAAGGTGATAAATGGATCTTTCTTGAATGGAAAATATGCTACAATTGTAAAATAGTGCCTATTACATATTTGAGGTTATTTTAAATTAGTTAATCTTTCTAGCTTATATCTTTTTTTTTTCCCCCCTAAAGCTGTGGACTATGCAAGATCTTCTTCAATTAATGAGGATCAATCCAAAATCCAGTCTTTATAAATCACTGGTAAAGTTATTTTAATTTTGAAAATAAGCTTTAATTGCAGTTGTGATAAAACAGACTGGCTAAAACATCTTTTGTTTCTTACAGACTTCAGGAACTCAGAAAGAAAATAAAGGTACACGATGTTTATATATGGTGCCTACGAGGATGATTGTATCAGCTTCATTTTTATTAAGAAGCGAGCAATAGAGATTTTAATTTCTTGAGTGTATATTGGTATGGAACAATACAGATTCCGTGAGATTTTGAAACTTGTGGTACACCGGGATGATGAATATTGTGTTTCAGGATTATCCAACTTCTATTTGTGGTGTGGATTAAGTGCTAGCATTTACCTACAAAATAAATTACTTGAACATTAGAAATATGAAAAAACCCTGTAATTGGATGTTAAATATAAGGCTCTCTGGAAGCTTTTCACGCTAACTGCATCAAACTCACATTTTGGGTTGTGACTATAACTGACTGTATTAGCTTGCATAACGTTCTTCAAAAACTAGTTAAAGATTTAAATGACTTTCCTTTGGTTTATATCAGAAATAATTCTCGTGTCTGTGTGATGAAACCTGGCTATATTGTATTGCCTAAAGGAGCTTGATCTTCAGAAACTCTTGTTGCCTAATGACCTCATAATTAAAGTAGTAGTAATCTGCTTTCTCAAAACGTCAAAGATACATGGATAAAAGGAAAAGTTGCTAAAGGACTGCTTGTGCAGAATGAGATAGACTGGGTTATACTTACAATAAATTCTTGATAGTTTACTGGTATTGTTTTTTACTTAAATACTTGATACTTTCATAAATCAGGGAAGTTTTCTTGTACAGTGAAAATTACGTCATTAATTAATAGGCTCAAATTCAGTTTTGGTATGAAATCAGAACTCACTAATATATTGGATCTTGATAGGTTTTCTTATGCAGATTTTAATCGGACTTACAGAGCATCATCTAAGTAAGGAAACTCAGGACACAGAAACTCAAACAATCTCGGTGCCACCTTACAGAGAATCTCTTGGTAAGTGCAACCTCTGCAAGGAAGTCTTCCCCAGATATTTTCATATTGGTGAATGGTATGGATTAAAAAAGTTGTATGAATGGTGTTCATTCATCACTTACTCAGATGCAGCCTAGGGTAATAATAAGTAAAGGTTATACCTATCACTAGTACATTGATTTTCTAACCTTTCTTAAAATAAGGCAAAAGTTCTGTTACAGTTATTATTATTTGGTTTTGATCACTCGGATGTTTTCTTGGGCATCTAGCTAAGAGCTATAACAAACTGTGTGTGTTACGTGCCGAAATATGTTCTGGAAAAGATAGTTGTAAATGCATGCCTTGCTGCTCTTTCTACAGTAGTGTCTCAGTGAAATTAAGGCGTAGACTGGAAGTTCTTGAAGTATAATATGCATGTTACTAGTAATGCGAAAATGCCGAAAGTTGCATGCAAAAGAAAATTCCTGTCCATCGACAATTAAGAGGATGTATGACTGTGTAATACCACAGGTAGTGCTTAAACAATGAAGTGCCTCCTCCCAGGTATATGTTGCGTGGTGTAAAGCTGATAAATAGCATTTCTGTGCTGCCTCTGCTTTTGTACCACACTGCTCTCTCTATGACGGTGCCACTTGGGTAAACTGAGGACAGAGACACAGGGCCCTGCAGTCTTCAAAAGGCTGGCTGTGGGGACTGCTTTGAAATTTTGATGGATATGTTGCTCTTTTTGTAGCTGAGAAGCTTCAGCTGATTGATGAACAGTTCGCAGACTTTTATCCCCAGCAATACCAATCTTTAGAAGTAAAACTTTGTGAATATAGAAAAGAAATAGAGAAGCAGCTTCAAGCAGAAATGAGTCAAAAGGTATGACTTTGGCCATTGAATTGGTACAAGAACTGTTTCTTATTTTGATTGCTTTAATTTGGCAAATTTTATTTGCTCTTTGATTATTTTGTTTTATGGAGAAGTGTTTATTCTGCTTAACTGTACTATTCATTTTCCTTCCCAGTTAAGATTTTGAAGCTTGAATTTCAATAGAATGAATAGCAACTGAGACGTGTGAATTGCTGCTGAGCAGTTTGACAGATAGTAATTTTAAATACTGATGAGAATTTGTGTACTTTTTCAAAACATTACACATAAACACTAAAATCATAACATACAATATTATTAATTATTACCAGTTTTTTTTCTATAATTGAAGACAGCTCTCGGAGAATTTTCCTTCTTTTTGTGAATAAAATTAGATTATTTGTTCTGTCACATAATCCCCATGCCTGAATAATGGAGCAGAGAGAATATACTGCAGTTCATTTAAATATGTGTTCTTTTTTCTATGAATTTCTGTTAAGATCAGTCGTTTATTTGGATTTAAAAATAGTAATCTGATAATAAGTTAAAAATCTTAGACACAGTTTTAAAGGCATTCATCTGCATACAAACTGTTCGAGGAAATGAGTCATATTTATTCAGCTAGACAAGTAGAAGGACAGAGAGTTAAAACTCCCAGTGTATTTTACCTTCATTTTTCATTTAGTCTGCATTCCCCAATAGTGGAATAATTTCCCCATACATCTTTTTAGTACATAAAACATAAATGTTTGTTGTTAAGTTTGTCTCGGTTTAAGCAAAGCAGTTGCAAGAAAGGAGATTGGAATCTTAAAACAGTTAGAAATCACTTCTAAATTCAATTAACTTTACATGGATTCCTTAGCAATGTGATGTGAATTCCTATAAGACACTTCTAAACCAATTTGTGTATGTACAAGTCATGCTATACTGTCTCACCATTTCTTTAATTTTTTACAAAATTTTTGCCCACAGACCTCAATTCTTTGATCACACATTCCTACTGTGTTTTTTCCCATCTTTAACATTGCTTTCTCTAGTCTCACAATTTTTCTGTCATTCCCTTTTTATTCTTTTTCTCATTTCTTCTCACACTTTTTGTCTTGTATTTGCTTTACACTTTCTTTCAAATCTTTATAATTCTGTATAACCCAACTTGCTCTCGCACTTCACACGCTGTGAGGCGTGTTCCCTACGAGTCTTCTGTGCAGATGCAAGAAGCACACTTTCCTGTTAACACATATTTACTTTTTTTTTTCCAGTTGCACTAAAAACTCTGTGAATGGAGACTTCTGTTTCCATAACCCTCTTTACATGGAGTTACATGTTCTGCATTTTTTTGCGTTTGGCACTTTCTTTTTGTGTCCAGTGGAATTTCTGTTGTTCCTTAGAGATTTGGGATGGGTCTACTTCTGCCTTTTCTTGCGTCTCCAGTCTAAAGTGGTTCTTTGGGAAACAGTGTCAGTGAAGGAATTAAAGAGTGTGGCCGTTCCTTAACTGTAAGCAAATTATTGCTCCTGCAGTGTGTTTTTCTTCATAGGCCTCTGCTTTGTCTAAAGCTATTAGTTTTGGGATGCCAGATAAATACATGAAACCCATATGAGACCCACAAACAGTACGTGCTGCTAAGATGCTTTTATCACAGTTAGGTATTTTCATCGAATTAGCTTTCTTAGCAAGAATTTCTAGTTGGGTTTTAGAATTGTCTGAGGATGGATTTTCTTTGTCAGTTTGATGATGGCCCTACTTAACTCTCTCGTCTTCCGGTATTTAAAAGCTAGAACATTTTAAAGAAGTTGAAATAGCAAAGATTAAAATGGAGGAGAAAGCACAAACCCAGAAAGAAATCTCTGAACTGCGTCATGAGTTAGAGAAGACACATCAAGCAAAGTCTGAAGCCTTGATTTCTCGTGAAAAGAATGCTATTGAGAGGCTTCAAAAGCAACAAGAGGTAAAGTTTCAAATGATTTTTGCTAATGTAGACAAAATGATCTAGTGAGTTGGTTAAACTGTTCTTTTGTCTTTGGGAGATTTACCTTCAGATCTTACTTGCCTTATGAGCGAAAACTTTGAATTTACTTCTGTTCTCATAACTAAGTGAAGACTTTTGGCAACTGCAAGAATGGGTATGGATAAATATCTAAGCAGAGTTGTCTAGAAAAGGAACAGTTCTGCAAGCTAGACTTGAAAGATTTAAATGTAATAAATACTTTTAAATATCTTTTAATAACTGATGAATTCAAGTCACTGAGATTTCTTGAACAAAGTTGAACGTAGCTTTTAGTTACACTATAAATTCTTTCAGTTGCTAAGAAGGACTCTAAATGGAACATACAGTTTGTGTGGTACAGATATGCCAGTTCTCTATGTCATATGTTGAATATTGTTAATAGCCACTGTCTTGATTGTAAGCAACTATCATTTCATTTCTTTTTTTGTTGATGAGTTACTCCTTTGTGCTGTTAACTCTTGGTGTTTTGCCAGCATAGGCACTGTTACTGCAGCACACAGTAATTAATATACAGTTCTGAATTGCTTCTCCCAGTCTTTATTACTTCTCAGTTTTTGGAATAATGGCTTGCTTGCTGTCCTGTTGCCTGTTTGCCTAGCGACACGCTGGCTGGCAGCAGTAGACCTTCCTGTCCAAATAATAGTCACCCACAAATGCTAACCACATTTTTGTGCTGGTGTTGTGAGATTGGGTTTTTGTGTGTTTTTTGGGAGGTGAGATTTTTTGTTCTTTTTGGGGATTTTGGTTTTGGGGATGTTTTTACCCCCTGAGAGCATGTGATGTTGGTTAACGAAGCAATCATACAGGTCACAATGCAGATTATATGTAACCATCTCCACTGTTGACCTCCTTCTGATCTGAAAATTAAATGTTGTATCACTATGGTCCATTGAAGCTTACAAGAAAACCATCTTTTTTTATGCTACAAGTCCTTTTCTGTGGGCATGAAATTAATTCAGTAATTAAAAAAAAAGAGACAACTAGATCAACATATCCATCAAGTATTGTTTGTGAATCTTGGGTTGTTCTTGTCAGCTTCTGCACTCACTGAAAATTACATGCTACATTTACCTGGGAACTCTTTTAACAGAGATCAGGAGCTTTACTGAGTTGGAGTATATTTACTTTAAAGGTAGAAGGTCATTTAAGCCTTTACTAAAATAACTTTATGCCCAGGAAACGGGGCTTGACAAACTGCTCTGTTTTGAACCAGGTACAGCAGCTGAGTCGTTGAGCAGTGTCAAGTGCACAACTTGCCAATTTGATATGGGCACCTGTACAGCGAAAGAGTAATTTTCTTCTTCTTAGGCAATTATTTCTTTGGAGATAAATAATGCCTTGTGTGCTTAAGGACAGGAAGAGCTATTTTTTATTAATAAGAAGATATGTGACTTTTGGTATTGGCATGTTCATCCCTTAGAGAATCCCGTTTACAGTTTGTTTGATTTCAGTGAGTTAAACTGCAAAATCCGAAAGACTGCTGTTTGACTCAGGTTCAGTTTTAAGTGATATTTTTTGGCATCTGTTTTTCCAATTTTATTTTTATGAAGAACCTACAAAACTATTGTTTATTAAAAAACCAGATGTGTGAATGTGCTTATTCTGTAGTCTTTTTAAAACAATTTTTCCTTCTACATAAGTTTTAATCAGTGCTATTTCTTAAAAAGAAAAATGTTTACAGGTGGCCAGTAGTGACAATTTTACTCAGAGTAAAAGGAGAACGGGAGTAAAGAACAACTACAGTTGATTCAGAACATTATTTCAAATTATGACTGTGTAAATAATACTGATTATTAAGACCAATTACTGAAGAAGATCCTTGAAAGTCTGAACATGTTAAAGAGTAGATACCTGTATGAAGTGTGAAGTAAACCTATAGATAATATTTTGTGATTCAGATAGAGGCAAAGGAAATATATGCTCAGAGACAAAATCTCCTGAAAGATATTGAAGTCATAAGGACCAGAGAGGCGGAACTGAAGCAAAGAATTGAGGCATTTGAAGTGTAAGTTGCTGGAGGGCATATACAATATGATGTTATTGTCCTTTTTCTGGGAAGCAGGCTTCAAGATGTTGCAGCTTCTATGACATTGAAATAGGTTATATATCCCGGAAGTTGTGTTTCACATTTTGCCAAGTATTGTACACTGTCTGTATTAGCAGGGATACCTCATCCAAAAAGTCATTTTGTTGTGTTTTGTTTTTTTTCCTGCACCTCCTCATCCAACCAAAGCAATGCAGCATCAGTTTGGAGGCAAGGAGCCAAATGTTTGCTTTGACGTGCTTAATTTTTTTTTAAAAAAACAAACAAACCTGAAACAGCACAGGCTATAATCCTAACACTCCTGAAGCATGTGTCTGGTATTTTGTTTCTTTAGTCTTGTTGGAGTTTTGTTTGACTTGGTCTTAGTAATATTAGTTTTCTTTGGTTAAATAATAAAAAGAAAAACCTAATAAACCATTTCTAGCCAGATTTTTAATAGTAGTTTATGTCATTACTATATAAACTCTTTTTTACAGTGAAGCGAGTATCCTGCTAACAAAAACTTGGTGTTTTTAACAAGCCAGCAGAGGGTGCTGTTAGAGTAGCATGCTCAGCACTGTCTCCTCTAAAGGCTTTCTGGTGTGGGAAACTGAGCCAGGGTTAACCCGGGATAGCTGCATAATTGATTGGTACTGGATTTTAAATGGGGCAATTTAGTTTGTGTCACATGTCCTTGTTCGTAATGAATTACAGTGACAGATTCTGATGATTATTTTGAATTGCTACAGTGTTCCAAGCAAGTACATTACCCTTTGATGCCTCTAAATGTTATTTGAAAACAAGAACAAAACCTGAAGTTTTGCCTTTGTAACTGGTCATTGTCTGTATATTCACGGGTATTTCAGCACTCAGAAACTTCAGGAAGAGAAAAATAAAGCTGTTGATGATGCGCTTCGACGTCGGGAAGTTGCTGTGAAGAACACAGAGGAGACATATGACCAAATGTTGAAGACAGAACTCTTAAAGTAAATTTTTCTTTTGTTTCTAATAGGATGACACATGACACTACTTCCTCTGAAAACAGGGTAACGAAGTCTATAGGGTTTCTTTTGAAGAGTGCAACAAAGCATGGACTTTGCAAATGTGCACTCGTTTTTTTGTTTTAATTAGCTTGAATTCTTTACATTATTGCTTAGCTCTTTGCAAGAAAGACAAAATATTCTGTTAGGTTCAGGAAAACCTTTTAGTAGAAAATTCTTTTTTTTTTGTTATAGGTTATATTATTGTTGTAGTTTAAATTCTGTGTTGTTATCAGGGGAAGAGATGTGATGTTAGTTGTATGCTTAGACAAGAGGATGTGAAGCAGTATTACCCATTTCATTTTAACTGTGATTAAAAGAGCTGGCCATTTTACAAGTGCAGAAAAGGCATAGAGGGGAAATCAGCGTTAAAGAGATGTTACAGGTTTCTTGGAAAAAGGATGAGAGGCACACTAGCCCATTGTACAGGTAGACTCTTACCTTTGCCTCTGCCCATTTTTGGAGAGGGATTCCATTGATATAGATCACCCTTTTTTATTGACTACTATCTGCTTGAACATGGTTTCAAAGAATTTGCTTAGAAATGCTCTTTGAAAGCATGAGACGTCATCTGTGACTACTTTTGAGGTGCTGCCCTGGATATATGCTAACTTTTGCAGTTCTGTTTTCTTGGAGCACCTTGATCAATGGAAGAGTTGCTTGATGCTTCGGTGCCAGCACGTGCTCTCAAGGCATTATTACTCAGGGGTGTTTGATGGCCGGAATCAGTCTTCCAGTTACGCCTATAAACCAAATGACTGGTGTATCATACTTTTTATTGCAAGCCGGTGAACAATAAGTATTATCTGTGTTCACGTGTCTTTATTTAAATCAGAGGAAAGATGGAAGAAATAGATTTTGATAAGGATAATTCCTCTGCTGAAACTGAGTAGATCTGAGGGTTTTGTCAAACAACAGTGAAACAGAACTAACTGACCCACCTTGGTATCTTACTTTGTCTAGTCCATACCACCTCGTTACAAATAATGCATGTAAAGTGCTTTTGGTTTATGAGGAGAATCAAATTGTTTTAAGAATGAACTGCTGCTTAGCTTATTTTATCAACACACAAAATATTTTAGACATGTTGCAAATGATCAGAAAGGTAAAATCTGTATCCTTTTGTCCCAAATCCTTGATGAAGAGTAGCAAAGAGCTACTCTTTATTGTATAGAAATAATAACGCTTGTTAGAAAAGGAATCTTCTTTTTATTTCAGCAGTAAACATTAAATGCCATGATTGGGAGAAGGATCTGAGTGGTCTGGACCATTTGCAAATTGCAGGAGGACGGATATGGCAAAATCTGAAAACATTCATAATCCTATAATCTATGTCCCAGTCATGCAAAATGCTGAGCTTTCTTAGCTCCTGTAAATTTCAGTAAAACCAGATGGTAAAGTTGGGTGACTGTTGGGCTGTGAAGAGTTGTGTACCTGGGCAGTGCTCTGCATCTCACTGGTGGTCGAGGAGCAGAGATCTTTTGGGGCAGTACGGGGACCTGGCCTGCCCAGTGCCTTCGTCCAGGATCTGGATGCTGGCACAGGGCATGCTCACCAACTTTGAACGTGAGGCTTCATTAAGGGGAGTGGCTTCCCCAACAAATGTCAGAGCTTCAGTTCAGGCTTTGACAAACGTGGAGATTGTGCCAACATAAATCTTATGAATTTTAACAAGGAGATCAGCAAAGCTCTGCGCTTGGGGTGGAATATCCCTACGAAGTAGTATAAATGGGGGAAAGGAGTTGACTGCAGAGCTGCGTTTCTGAAGAGGACGTGGGAGTTACAGCGAGTGCCAGGCTGACCATGAGCCAGCAGCAGGCTCTGGCAAGTGAGGCCAGAGCCTCACCATGTGTGACATTAGTGGCACACATCCCCTTGGCCAATGGGCTGAGGGAAGTTATTATCCCCCTGAGGTATTGGTGAGGGCGATGCTAGTAGTACTGTGCCAGGTTTGGGTTCCCCAATTCCAGAAAGTCATGAAGAAACCAGAGAGGGCCTAATAAACGTCTGTCAGGATAGTCAAATGTGACCTCTGAGTTCATGTGGCAGGGGGCATAAATTGTGGCTTGGGAGGTTCAGCTTGTAAATGAGAGAGAAAAAAGTTTACTGAGAGGGTAGTGCAGCGCTGGCACAGGTCATCCAGGGAGCTGGTGGAATATGCATCCTTTGAGGTTTTCAAGACTTGGCTACAAAGAACCACAGCTGACCTACTCTAGAGTTTTCAGTAGCCTTGCTTTTTGGGCAGGTGGTTGAATGAGGTGATTGCCAGGGGCCTTCCCAACCATTTCAGTGGCTCTGCAATAACTAATTTTGTCAATAAATAATCATGTGATCATAGTTTAGTCTGGGAGAGACTGGAATTTATGCAAATGCATGTGTCCGAGTGCACGTGCATTCTTTGGGAATACATACTGCTTTTTACTTCTAGATACCAGCTTGAATTAAAAGAAGAATACATAGCCAGAACCAATAAAGTTACTGAAGATGAGAAAAAAAATAAAGGTAACCATCTGTCTGAGGCTAATTATGTAGCTGCTTATCTCTAATAGTTGGCAAAACACTATTGTTACTAACCAGTCACGGTGTTCAGTAGGAGTGGTGTAAGTGACAGAAAAGCCATCAAAATAGATTTTTTTGAAAACATGTAGCAGGATCCATTGACAGGTCAGCAAGTCCTTGCTGTTCAGAATGCAGTGGGACCCACAAGCTGCTGCTTTGCACAGAATCTGCAGAGCGTTTTGCTTCTTGGTTTCCTGTCTCCTTCTGAAGTCCTACTAGCTCATTCATTCTCTAATTGAACTCTGGTACAGTCTGGTACCATACCTTTGAATGCTTGCCAGTTTCTACATTTGTTACACACAAGATGTTTAATTGGAGCTTGAGCAAGAGAGCTGGGACAGATAACATGTTTAGACTTCTAAGTGAAAGGCATGTGAAAGAAATTGTATATCACATGCATACGAATTTGATTTACTTAATTCCAAAGGAGTGTATGTGTGTATATGTATGCACAGTGTGATTGACTTAGTTTTGAAGAAGTGTGTATAACATTCAGTCGTTTTTATGTCTTGAATTAAATTGAATGTTGGGTTTAGCAGCTTAAACTGTTGGTACAGTAATACTCTACTAATTTTAATTCAGCATTTGTAATCCTCTCTGTAGAGAAAGCTATGCTTTTGCATGAAGAAGCTATTGCTGTTAATTCGAAAAAGGAGGAACTCAAGCAAGCCATATCACGCACGAAGGAGCTTGAGGTAATTGTAAACATGAATTTAGATATACTGTATTCTAATTAGTGTATTTGAGGTACATTTAAAAAAAATGTGAAATGAAAATAATTGTTAAGTAGTACAGCAGTTCATAAGCTTCTAAATTGTTCTTTATCTGCAGCTGGATTTGGAGTCAGTGAAGGCCCAGGTTCTGTTGGTGAATAAACAGAATCAATCATTGACAGAAAAACTGAAAGAGGTATCAGACTATCCTTTGCTAAAGGAGGAGAAATTGGAGCTCCAAGTGCAGAATAAACTACTTAGGCAACAGTTGGATGAGACTCGCAGTGAGAACCAGCATCTTCGAGACAGTCAGTGTGAATGATTTAGTAATTTTCTTGTTTGTGTTTC